TTGCGCCCCCCCCCCCCCCCCCCCCCCCACCCCGCCTCATTGTGCTGGCCTGGCTCGGGGTCTTGTCATGCTCTCCACTTGAGCGGAGAGTGGGTAAAAGCCTTTTAGAGGCTGCTTCACCCCCACCAGGCATATCCCTACTGGGGTACCATGTGGGACGGGGAGGGGGTTTAAATTCCTGTCCCTGCCCCTCTGCCTGCCAGCCTGGACCAGGATCTGCCCCCCTCCCCCCTGCCCCCATCTCTCTGCTGGAATGGGGAGAAAGGAAAAAGCCTGGTAGGGGCTGCTTGGGCATACCCTAGTTGGGTCCATGTAGGCCAGGGTGGGGATTTAAACCCCCCCGCCATCATACTCAGTGGGGCAGCTGGTTGTGTTTCCCTCCTCACCCCCAGCTCCAGCAGGGAGGTGGGAAAGCCTCAGAGGGTGCTCTAGTGCTCCCTCCCTCCCTTCCCCCTAGCGTCTGGCCTGAGCCATTGCGGTCATGTGGTTGCATTTCCAGAATCAAAAGTGAATGTCTGTTCACTTGCTTTGCAGTTCAGTCTATGCAGTTTAGATTAACCTGCAAAGATTGAATCAATTCAGCGTGGAACTTTTTGATTGTCTGTACTTAGCCTTAAAATTTTACCTTGTTGCTTCTTTCCCTGTGTAACTGCCAACTTTGAAATTGGTGAAGCAGTTCAAGTTGGAGGTCTCTTGTATATAGAACAGAAGGAATTGCTAGTCGGATGCCCCCTGTGAGATCCTTTTGACTTTAGAATTAACTTCTGTAGTCCAAAACAGTACAAATTGTCATCCTGTAAAACCCTTCTGTATGGATTGGTATTTAGTGAAAGCTGCAGGTTTGGAGGGAATGGTTAGAGAGGATAGTAGATTCAACAGACATAGGGTTCGAGGAGCTTCTGTGGGAGAAAATTCACTTTTGTGGACTTGTTTCTTGTGTGTTCTTATTTGATTTAAACATATGTGTATGCACGTGCAGGACTGGTACCTTTTTTGTGCTAGTTAGAATGTGTTATTAGTTGTCAAGAGTACCTTGCCTATCCAGTTGTTTTCTTTTCATATTTGTTTTGAAATTGAAATAAATACATGTAAAACAATTTCAAAATTGGCTATCTCAATTCTGAGTCCCTTCATGCCTGTTGCCTGATAGTCTTACAAAAAAATTGTGGAGCCAGTAGAATTAAATATAAAATAAGTTACCTCAATTTTAAGACTTCCATGGTACCCATACCTGTCTTATCAGAGTGCCTCACATGCATTATCCTAACATCTGAGAAAGTATGGGCATGCTACCCCTCACTGTAAGATAAGGAACTGAGTTTTGCAATAACAGCATGACTTGCCTGCCTTCATCTTTACACCCATCTCAAAGTGCCACAAGTCACAGAACCCTTTCATATCTGTGGAGCCAGGTAACCTAGGCCAGCAATGGCAGCATGCTGCCTTCTGGCCCCTACCACCATGATCCTTTGCAAGGGTCCCTGATGACCTATGCACTGACATCCCATGGGTTTCTGTTGTCCAGGGCCCAATGCCTGCATTTGTGCGCCCCCCCCCCCACAGGTGATTGCCAAGCCTGGAAATGCCGGCAGCACTTCTGGTTTCTCTGGAAGTGCTGCCAGGAGATCGAGTACACCCTGGAGGGCCTGGCCAGCAAACAAGGGCATGCCCCCCTCTCCCCCCCCATCCGTCAGTATGTCACTGGACCTATGGTAGAATCCCAGGGTTCTGTGGACCACTGTTTGAAAAACACTGGTCCAGGGTAAATCATTCACACACCAAGCTCCTATTGCAATGTTGTTGCCTGATAAGTTATGACAAGCTTTGGCCTTGAACAATGGCTGGCATGAGACTTATATTTGCCATGTGATGCAACTGCAACAGGGCTGTATGAAGCATTTTATATTGGGGTAACAATATATCCTGAACAAGTGGTTTGAATTATAAAAGCACCAAAATCCCAACATTTTGCATGATAAATAGAAATGTCAGTGTTTCACACAGAGCTCTGTGCAATAATAAAGGTACTCCATTTGGACTGCAAGAACTCAGATCTTGATTAGAAAAGCCACATGCTTGGTGCTGCTGCTTTAAGCCATGAGGTACAGTGTGTGTTCAGAGCTATTGCAAAATTCTTCGAACACATTGGCTAGGGACAGAAATTATACATAAACTAGCATAAGTGATTGGAAACGTTCAAATATGTAACACAACAGAAGTTTAGTGCACACAAACTGCTTTCAAAGTGGCTAAAGTCAGTTTAAGATAAACCTGGACAGATGTAGCACCAGCCTTAACTGATTTATGTTAAATCAGTTTATTGAACTTCTTTCCCAGGTTCCCTCCAGATTCAAGTTAACTCACAGTCCCCCAGTATCCCACCTCTCCTGCAAACCCTCTTTTGCAGGGTGGGCATGGTAGCATTGGCCCAAGCTGCCTGCTTCAGCCAAGCAGGGAGGCATGCTCTAATACCCCCTGGCTTCTGGCCTGGTCTACTGCAGGTATGCGGCCGCATTTCCT